AATATGAAATGACCTCCTGTGATGAATATGAAATGACCTCCTTCATCTCTTTTAATTGATTTTAGTTTGAAGTCTAACTTGTTAGATACTAGGATAGCTACCCCAGCTTGTTTCTTGGGTCCATTTGATTGGAATGTCTTATCCCAACCCTTTACTCTGAGGTAATGTCTGTCTTTGAATTCGAGGTGTGTTTCTTATATGCAGCAGAAGGATGGATTCTGTCTTTGTATCCAATCTGTTAGGCTGTGTTTTTTATAGGTGAGTTAAGACCATTAATATTGTGGCAAATTAAGTTCCATTGAGTGTTTATTCTTGTTTGTTTTTGATTTGTTGTTGGTACTGGTATTGTATGTGGATTTACCCTGCCTTTTATTTTGTTTTTTTGTAGAATGTGATTATTTATTGCCTGCGTTTATGTGAGTGTAGTTAATTTCCTTAGGTTGGAGTTTTCTTTCCAGTACTTTCTGTAGGGCTAGATTAGTGGTTAAATATTGTTTAAGTCTGGTTTTGACGTGGAATATCTTGTTTTCTCCATTTATAGTGATTGAAAGCTTTTCTGGGTATAGTAGTCTGGGCAGGCATTCATGTTCTCTCAGAGTTGGTAGAATATCTATCCAGGTCCTTCTGATTTTCAGAGTTTCCATGAAGAAGTCTGGTGTAATTCTGATGGGTTTGCCTTTGTATGTTACTTGGCCTTTTTCCCTTGCTGCTCTTAATATTTTTTCTTTATTCTGTATATTTGGTGTTTTAATTGTTATATCACGAGGGGACTTTCTTTTGTGGTCCACTCTATTTGGCATTCTGTAGGCTTCTAGTACTTTCATTGGCATATCTTTCTTTAGGTTGGGGAAGTTTTGTTCTATGATTTTGTTGAATATGTTTTCTGTACCTTTGAGTTGGGTTTCTTCACCTTCTTCTATACCTATTATCCTTAGGTTTGGTCTTTTCACGGTGTCCCATATTTCCTGGATATTTTGTGTTATGGATTTGTTGGACTTCAGATTTTCTTTGCTTGATGAGTTTATTTCCTCTAGTTTATCTTCAGCATCTGAGATTCTGTCTTCCATCTCATGTATTCTGTTGGTTATGCTTGCATCTGTGGTTCCTGATTGTTTACTCAGTTTTTCCACTTCCAGCATTCCTTCAGTTTGTGTTTTCTTTATTGTCTCTAATTCAGTTTTCATGTCCTGAACTGTTTCCTTCAGCTGTTTAATTGTATTTTCTTGGCTTTTTTGGCTTTCCTTGATTTCTTGCATCTTTTGGTTTGTCTTTTCTTCCATTTCTCTGAAGGATTTTTCTGATTTCCTCTCTTAGGTTCTCTATCATCTGCATGAAGTTGTTTTTAAGGTTGCTCTCTTCTGCTTCTTCTGTGTTGGGATGTTCATGTTTTGCTGGTGTAGAGTCCCTAGACTTTGGTGGTGTCATATTGGTTTTCCTGTTGTTGGATGTGCTCTTACATTGTCGTCTTCACATCTCTTCTTCCAGTGGGTACAGGTAGTGTCACTTCCTTTCCTGGTGTGTATGGGTCCGGGGTTCTCTTCAGGTGGGTGCAATTGGCTCCGTTACTCTGATGGGTCTCAAGTTGGGTGCAGGCAGGTCCAAGGCACTCGCTCTCCAGGTGGGTGAGAGCAGGACTGGTGCAGAGATGTCAGCAGACTCTGGGTTTCTTGTTCCTCAGGGGTAGAGTCATCCTGACTGTAGACCCTTGGGCAGGAGTTCCCAGAGTGGACAGGCAGAAGTTGGGCCCAAGGCAAGGGCCGAAGCAGCTTGCCTCTGCACTCTCTACACTCTGTGGGGGCTGGAATAGCCCAGCGATCTCAGCAGAGTCAGGGTCCCAAGGTCCTCAGGGACCGATTCAGTCTGCCTGCCTGAATTACAATATTTAAAACATACATATTTATACTAAAATTTATACTACAGATATATTTGACATATAAAAATTATCCATTTATGTCCACAAGTCATACATTTATAACTTTTAAATTTGAAATAATTTTAAAATATACAAAGTCTCAAAAATAGTGTATAGAGTTCAGAGACACCCAGATTCTCACAAATTTAATGATTTCTCTAGCAATGATACAATTATAAATTATAAATTAATCTTGGTACAATATTATTAACTGACCTACAGATTTTATTTGACTTAATAATTTTTCTACTAATGTTCATTTTTCCTAGTTCAGTCTAGAATGTTTGTTGTCCTTAGAGTTCCCCTTTTTTTTTAAGTCTGTGACAGTTTCTCAGCCCTTACTTTTCATGACTTTGACAATTTTCAAGAATCCTGGTCACTGTAAAGACTGCCTTGCAATGTCTGTTTGTCTGACATTATGTGCAAATATTTTGAGATCATTTGTTTTTAGGAAAAGCAAAAACAAATCTACACAGAAGTGTTGTTCCCTTCTTAGCATGTCTCAGGTTATACATGATGACATCAGCATGTACTGGTGAGGTTATTCCTGTTTTCCCACTGTCAAATCATTACCATTTCTAAATAACATCTTGGGTTAGATAACTTGAAAATTACATGTTTTCTTTTCCCTACTAGAATTTGTCTGAAATAGCTTTTTTTATTGTGATTTTATTGTAGATATTTTCTCTTTCCTTTGTTCCTTCTGAATTTATTAATCAAAAATACTCAGTGAGGGGGGTTTCTTCTCGGTTTTGTTTTCTGGGTTATAACCCCACAAACTCAGTTCTCATATTTGCCTGTCAATGTAGAGAAAGCCCCTAGAGAGTTTATCCCACCAGAAGTCATAAACTAGGAAGAAGGGAAATTCAGCAACAGTGTGTATGTGTCACATGAAAATGAGGCGAGGGCAGTCTCTGAAAGAAAAGGGGAATCTCAGATGATTGTCATGTGGTCACAGCAGAGCACTCTAGGAAGCCTGCTCCTTGGCAAAAAAATTAGGAAAAATTCACGACAGGAACACAGGAGACAGAAGAAAAGGAGAACATTGTAATCCTGCCGGCAAATACTAAATGCAATCTGGCATAGAGTGTGTTCCGCCCTGGGAATGATGGGAATACTGAAGGTAACATAATAAAAAGTACTATTGTATCAGTGTTGGAAAGACAAGGGGCAGGTGGCAGATGTGGGTATCCAGCAATGTTAAGAAGATCTGTTTCTATTTGCTGCTCGACTGCAATGTCGATTTTCCTTCCCACTTTTGTAGCAGAACTGTTACTAACCCTGGAGACCAATTTTCCCAGTCCGAGTACTGCATTATCCAGTTTTGCTTGAAGCTGAGTGGAACCATGTGGTTTAAATTCATCAGAAGTACTCAGGGGATCTTGGAGAAGATGATTCTAAAAGCATTATTCTTTTGCTCTTGTTGATGAGAAATGGAAATGTTCTGGTTGGAGCTTCTGTTGCCATTGTGGACTATGACAATCAAGTGCACACTCCCACAAGGTGGACCAGCAAGCGGGGTGTGGGGGTGGAGGGGGAGGGGGTTGTGTAGTCCTGAAACATTACAAATTATCTCAGCATGTTTTGTTTCAAGAAAGGTCTTTCTCTGTAGTTCTGGCAGGCTTAAAATTCACTGTTAAGAATAACTCAGCTTCCAACTTGCTGTGATCCTCCTGCCTCAGTTTCCTTATATGTATGTGCCACTGTGGTGATATATTGTTTATGATTTATTAAAGCCACTGGAGATAGAAATATCAAAGCAGCTCTACTAGTTAGCTATAGAGCTTAGATGGTGGTGGTACACACCTTTAATCCTAGACCCCAGGATTAAGAGGTAGATGGGTCTCTGTTAGTTCAAGGCCACACTGACTACATGAAATTGATCCAGTCCTAAAAGAAACAGCTCACACAAAGGTGATCTCAGCACCTGGGATCACATGCCTTTAATCCCAGCATTAGGGAGGTGGAGACAGGAGTTATGATATGGTCCAGCAGAGAAAGGAATAAAAAAGAGGAGAGAGGAATTCAGAACCTTTTGCCTCTAAGAATTTGTGTAGACAGGCTTGTCATTTCAGCTGGGTAGAGGTAAGAGCTACTGGTTTCACTGCTTTGCTTCTCTGGTCTTCAGCTTGAAGTTGAACCCCAATCTCTGTCTTTGGGTCTTTTATTTTTCATGGTGTATGCCACCAAACACTGCATGTTTCATGAGAAATTGTGTGTGTGTGATGATGCTCAAGTCCTAGTTATATGTAGTAAAACCATTTTAACTGATTTGTATCTAAATTAAAGTATTAGGAAATAATATAACATGTTATTTAGTAGAATAGAGATAAGTGCTAGAGGGAACAGGAAAAAACTGAAAGCAGTTGCCTGTGACAGTGGGAATCAGGATAAAAGCAAATGTTTACTATTTTTCTTATAATTTCTGTAATATTTAACATTAAATTATGCACACCATTAATAAAATCAAATGAACTTTTTCTATTTTAATTAGTATTCATATATTCACATCCCACCTCTAAGTACTTCTGTTTTCATCTGGAATTGCAACTGTTTGCTTTGGTTTTCTGCATATTTTTTATATACAGTTATTTTCTGAATACAGTATATATAGAGATAAGTAGTTTTCTTTAGCTACCTATTTTTATTATATTCTATTTTAATTTTAAAATGCTACTTATATAAAATGTTGAAGCATGCAGTAATATTGTTTCTTTATTTTTTAGAATTCAAGATGCAGGCATGCAGCTAAAAAAGCAACAAAATGAATTTCAGAGAGTACAGCAAGAATTAGGTCATCTACAACATGAGTTAAAAGTTAAACAAAAACAATCCAAAGTCTTCAGGTAAGATTATCTTTAAGAATTGAAAATTGTAAATATTTAAAATACACAGCAAATGCTAACTTTAGGAGCATACAAACATTTCCTAATGTGATTTCTAATCTTAAGCAAAAAAATGGAAATGGCTTTACTTCTTTATTGTTCTTCTCTCAACTGAATTGTTTTATTAATAAAATGTAATTGAGCAAACAGCTCTTTCTGTTAACACCTTGTTTTTGTTCTTTCTCTATAGTGACATCTAAAATGAAAGAATAGTAGCTAATGCATTTTGTGTGTATGTAGAGAGTGGTGACTAATATGTCCGTTTGTGCCTGTGTGTATTTGTGAGTGTGTGGCTATGTCTTCTTCTGTTCTGTACATTATTTTTTGAGACAGGGTCTCTGACTAAAGCTAGAGCATGCTGATTTGTCCAGACTGGCTGCCTAGCAAGCTCCAGGGACTTCATACCTCTGCCTATACTGGGTTTTTAGGCACATGCCATCAGGCTGGCTTTTTAAATGAGTGCTGGGGTCTGAACTGAGGGCTCATGTATGGCAAGCACTATACTGCTGAGCAGCACCCCCACCCCCACTTTCCTCTTGGTTAATAGTTCTTGGCCATTTAATCTGGTGGAACAGAAACCCTTTCTATGTGATAATACAGATCCTGAGATTTGGAATTCTCCTGCACTAATAATGCTAATCTCCACCCATAGATTCACTGGAAGGTTTATAATGCATTAGTATACAAAAAAATCCCCCAAACTGGGAAATATATGCCCTTAAATACACTGAGAAGGTTTATAAGAATGATTCTTTTTTTATTTCAGTAAAAAAAATAATATGATAAATGACACAGATTGAAGGTAACAAAAAATATGCTGGATAAGTATTTTAGATTTTGGGTTTTTGTTTTAATCCACTGTCTACTACCACAAATATTAAAAAAAAAGTTTCTCTGAGCTCATGATTTTTAGTGCACCTGTTGGTAAGCCTGCTGGTCACTTGTCTACCTTTCATAAATGCCTTATGTATAACTAAGAGTAAAGAGTTATTGAGTGGATGCATGAAGGAAATGTGCTCACATCGCTTCTCTCTCTCTCTCTCTCTCTCTCTCTCTCTCTCTCTCTCTCTCTCTCTCTCTCTGTGTGTGTGTGTGTGTGTGTGTGTGTGTGTGGTTTTGCCTTCTTCAGTCTTGGTGCACCACATGCATACAGTTTCCCCAGAGCTGTTATATACCCCGGAACAGGACTCATAGATGATTGTGAGCCATCATGTTGGGGATTGACCTGGGTCTTCTGACCAGGGCCCCTAACTACTTATCCATGGCTCCAGCCCTACCCCCCAGATGAGCATTTTTACCATTATAATCCTACTTGGTCCATCCTAAGAAAACCAGTAGTGAGCTAGCAGTTTAACAGCACCAGGCAGCCCTGATTTCCAGTTGCTTGGCTCCTGCAGTAGCCTTGGCCTATGTCTGGGTTACCGAATATGAAGATGTGTTTGTAGTTACAATAACAAAGTAGGAAAAAAATCAGCATTGCTATATACATCAGTGTGCCTTCACTAGTCTCAGATGACATCTCTGGTCTCTGAATAATATGTTGAAGATTTCCTTTCACTTTCAAAATATTTCCATTAAACAATGGATTATATACGTGATCACTTTTGAAGAAATATGTGCTGTTGTGTTTTCTGTGTTTCAAAATCCTAATTTTTTGTTTTACTAATTGCAGTCAAAGATTGTCAGAATACAAATACTTCTGGAATAAGACCCTTTTATTACTTACTTTTACTAAAAGGGAACTAACCAGTATTAAATATGAAATATGTGATAATTTTCAAAACTGGACTTCACTGAAAGGAGAAGTTTTTCTACAGATTAAATCTATAAGTGACACAGCCTTGGCAGGTTTGTTACATATATTTACAACCTAATTGCTTTGTCTCTAACTGGTACATCATATTTATGTAATCATTGTATTTCTTTGTGTGTTGGGACTTAGGTCCACTTTTTATTAGTAGTTAGTACTGTAGGAAAACATTAAAATCACTCATTCCTGGAACTGAACATAAACTACGATGCATTCAATTTTAAGCTGTGGTCAAAAGTCTGATTACTCTTGTTAAGCATATAGATAATTTTTTAGCGTTTTTCTCTTCATATCAATGTCTGAGTAGCAAATATAAGCTTCCCCCAAATAACAATTATAAACACTGAACAAAAAAGCTCAACATAGCTGAGAGACCAGAACTAAGCACATAAAGACACAAATGTCAAAGATTGAAAAAAGGTATTTTCTCAGTGGAAGATGGCAGTCTGAAAAGACAGCTTACAGTATTACATCAGTGTGACCTGATGGAAAGGGAGAGCTATAGAATAGCAAACTTGACTGACAGTTCAGGGGGAGGACCAATAAACACATGACGCATGGAGGACTTTTAAGATGTGGAAATTATTCTCTTAGGCACTGTAGAGGCACATTCACATCATAAGCATTTGTTAAAACTTACAGATTATACAATGCCACTTTTACTAAAACTGCTTTAAAAAGATTATTTTCAATATTTAAAAGGGACATGGAACTTGGAAAATGCTTTTCTTTTTTTTTTTATTTTTAAAGGCCAGTAGACTGAGGTCAGCGTATAGTTTATTCTGCATGGAAGCAAAAATTATAAAAGAAAAATGTGTTCTTTTAAGCCTGAAGATGAGAGGATAGAGATCAAGGCAGACCCAGCCTCTGGGAATGGCCAGGTGCAAAGACCATGGGGGAGAGATGAGATTTTGCATGGAAATACTGTCGAGCTGCCTGGCTTCTCTCTGGAGTGCATGTGCACAAGTAAGACTAAGCAGCCTGCCTGAGAATGAAATGATTGACACTTTAACAGGCATCTTCCCTTCTCTTGGGGGAACAGACTTTACACTTTGGGTTTAGCTAAATTAACTGCTCCTTAAATCAAAGCAGAAACAAACAAATACTCCTTACATTTTTTTTAAAATTGATGTTCATGAATGTTTTACTCTGTGTGTATCTGTGTGCCTGGGGCAGAGGACTCCAACTATAGTTACTGACAGTTGTGAGACACCATGTGGGCACTGGGAATCACATCGGGGATGTCTTAGACTCTGAGCCATTTCTGGGGAAGCAAAATAGAACCCAGTCTCCATAATGTACCACACAAATTAATTAATTCTTTTTGTTCTTGTTGTTTTGTTTTGTTTTTGTTTTGTTTTTAAACACAGGGTTTCTTTGTGTAGCTCTGGCTGTCCAGGAACTCACTCTGAGGACCAGCCTGACCTTGAACTCACAGAGATCCTCCTGCCTCTGCCTCCCAAGTGCTGGGATTAAAGGTATATGCCACTACTGCCTAGCCCAAAATTTCTTAACCTAGAAAGAAATATTAAAAATATGGCCTCTGTTCTGCAAAATAGAGCAGCCAACACAGAGCAAACTTGAGTTGCACCAGATGATGTGTGGGAAGGCAAAATTCTTACTTTTCTTTATTGTGCTTTGCAGCTAGTTTTTATAAATGGAAGGTTTGTGACCACCCTTGTTGGACAAGTCTCTCTAGGTCATTTTTCTAATGATGTGTGCTACTTTGGTAAGCACACATTCTGTCACATTTTGGCTCAGGAGCTCTGCTTCTCTGAGGCCAGCGAACCCATCTGGGAGTCACTTTGTTCTCGCTTGGCTTGTTGTTATTTGGCTCTATCCAGTTTACTGCATCAGTGGGGAAACTTATTGTCTTGGGAAAAACATATCAATACCAACATTGGGCCAATTAGTAATCTCACAGTGGATGCTAAGTGTTGGAGAAAATGGAAGAGCTGTAAATCTCTTTCTTTTCAGTCAAGAGCTACTTATGACTAAGTTTAGGAAGTCAAAAGCCAAGACAGGTGGAGAGTACTGAAACAGATTTTCAAGTTGTAAATGCAAAAGAACAATTCTTGAGGGAACTAGGAGCACTGCTTCAGTGAACATTCAGAAGAAAAACAACTTTGTTACTAATTTGTTACTGATAAAGCTCTCACCCACAACATTCTCTTAAATTAAAGCTAATTTAGATCTAGTCCCTGTCTTCAATTCACAGAGGTTCAGAGAGGACAGAGAACTACAGGAGAAAATTCTAACAGAAGTTGGCTCAGGGGGTCTAAGGGAGGTGTCTTTGTAAGATAAGCATCCAAGACAAGGTAGCAAGTACTGACTTGGAAACTGCATCAAATTATCTGGAAGCCAGTGGTGGTGGTGCACAACATTAATCCCAGCACTCAGAGGCAGAGATGGGTGGATCTCTGTGAGTTTAAGGCCAGCCTTAACTACAGAGTAAGTTCAGGACAGGCAGAGCTGTTACACAGAGAAACCCTGTCTCAAAAAAGAAAACCAAAACCAAAACCAAAACCAAACAAACAAAAAGTCGGGACCATCTGGTTAAGATAATTGATGGAGGTAGCCTCATGAAACAACAGACTTTCTTTTGAGGGCAGAGTTTCTAGCTCATGTCAGCCCTTGAAACCCCCGTGTAGCCAAGGATGACCTTGAAGTTCTGTTTTACCCTGGGACACCATCACACTTGGTCTTGTAAATACCAGGCTTTCAGTGAAACAGCTTTATGCTAGCAAAGGACACCATTTGGGACTTTTCATAGCTAGAGCAGTCATTGCCTGGCTTCAGAGGTTCAAAGGACAGGCTGTCTTGGTAGGCGCCAATAAACGCTGACTTGACATGGAAGACCCCTTTTCATCTGTCATCCTCCAAATCCTGGGACTCTTTGAGAGTCATATGAAATCTGCTCTGCCTGTTCGCTATAAATAGAACAACAAAGCCGGGATGACAGCACATCTGTTTACAAAATAGTTTCCTGACTTTTTAAAGCCTACTGATGATAACTGTTGCTCAGTAAACTGATCTCAGCCTGGTGGTACATGCCTCCTACTCGCACTACATGAAGGCTTGGGGATAACTTATTCAAGGAATTCACCACTATCTTGGGTATCATGGTGAGATATAGTCTCAAAGGAAAAACAAACAAATTCCTTTCAAACTATAACCTTACCCAACAACTCTAATGGGATTTAATGAGATTAGTAATGTTTTCATGCCAGTTAAATTGGCACCAGTCATCTTACAGCCTATGGATTAGGGAGTGATTTGATTTCAAGTCTCACTGTCTATAAATTTTATGCTTATCATTATCAAGGATAGTGGTTTCTCTGATTTATCTGGACATAGTGAATGGAAAAGCTCTGGAAATGATTCCACACTGTAGATGTCATTAAGAATAAATATGATCATTAGGATTCACCATATAGATGCATTAGGAGTATTCATGATTCATGTCAAAATATCAATATTAACCAAAATTTAGAAGAAGTTGATTATAACCAGCATGGTGTTGGGGTCTCAATACATTATTGAAAGAAATAGTTGTACACAATTTAGAAATAACAGTTGTCCTAGTTTGCTTTCTGGGGCTGTAATAAACATTATGGCCAAAGCAAGGTGGAGAGGAAAGGCTCTAATTAATTTGATAGCTTACAACCCCTTATAAAGGGCAGGAACTCAAGGTAGAAGGAACTCAGTCCGGAGCTGAGGCAGAGGCCATGGAGGAGTGCTGTTTGCTGCTTTACTATCCATGACCTGCATAGTTTGCTTTTTATACAACTCAGGACCCCTGGCTTGGGGGTGGCATTATCCACAGTGGTCTGGTCTCTTTGACATGAATCATTTATCTAGAAAATGCCCCACAGATGTGCCTACAGACATTTTCTCAGTTGAGGGTCTCTTTCTCTGATGACTCTAGCTTGTGTCACATTGACCAAAAAACTAACCAGGGCAGCAGCAGAACTAGGATGTGATCACACTGCTTCGACATTTCTTGTGATAAAATTTTAACAGATCAGTTCATTCTGCCTGAGTAAAGAGTAGTTTCTTGAAGTAGATTACTGGGGAGATACTAATAAACATCATTGAAATGACAGCAAGGATACTATGTAAAGCTTGGACTTTTGGGTAAAATGATGCATTAGAAGGCTCACCACATTGGAAGTGGAGAGATGACTCAGAGGTTAGAGCCCTTGTTGCTCTTGCACAGAGGACCCAGCACCCACATGGCACCAGCAATCAGCTGTAACTCCAGTTCCAGGGAATCTGACACCCGTTCTGGCCTCCCTGGGCACTGTACACACGTGTATAGACATACATGCAGACAAAACTCCAATATACATAAAATAAAAACAAATCTTTTTAAAAAGATGCTTGTCACTTTTGTGTTAACACTTTCCTCAGAGATTGAACCATCCCATCTTTAAGTGGGGAAGCAAACAAGTCAAAATAGCTTCAGGAAGTCCCCCAAACTGATCAGATTCCCCAGGCTCCTTCCTGCCAACAAGAACAATAAAAGCTACAGAAAAGACTTTCAGACAAGCAAAGATACAGCTGCCTGGGAAAAATAGATTTAGGTCAGTCATTTGGAGAGAACATTCTCCAACCTGTTGAGCTGCCGTTCTCTCTAGGTTTCCCCTCTCTTGTGAGCGGTCACCCAGGCTGGGTGAGCTTTGGTGATGCAGCTGTCTGAGTCATTTCTGTTCCTGTAACTAACCCCAATAAAACTCATGGCTCATCAATTTGAACTTGGTGGTATCCGTGCTTTGGTCTGTTACAGGCTCCCTATCTGGAGTGAGTAGATTTGTGTGTAACATCTCCCCATAAGAAGTTTTGTCACGCTGGGTGATGGTGGTGCATTCCTTTACACCCAGCATTTTGGAGACAGAGGCAAGTGGATATCTATGAGTTTAAGGCCAGCCTGGTCTACAGAATGAGTTCCAAGACAGCCAAGACCAAATGGAGAAATCCTATCTTGAAAAAAAAAAAGTTTCGTCACACAACAACCATGGAAACTTGGTGAAAGAAA